ATAGTCACAGTTTCTGACCCTGAGGCTTTGACCTTTGTGATCTCAAGGGCCTTTCAGTTTTATGACGACTAGCTTTCATACATTTCTTCTGACAAAGAATGCTTTCAGAGCCCTCTTCATGTCTTTATTCCTCAGACTGTAGATGAAAGGGTTCAGCATGGGTGTGATGACTGTGTACATCACCGAGGCTGTTGCACTTGAGTGTGCATTGTGGGTAGCTGCAGAGCTAAGGTACACTCCAAGCATCGTACAATAAAATAAGGAGACAACAGTGAGGTGAGACGCACAGGTGGAAAATGCTTTATATTTCCCCTGAGCTGATGAGATTCTGCGTATACAGGAGACTATCTTAGAATAAGAGTAAAGGATACCAGCAAAGGGACCTCCACCCAGCAGGACAGCTGCAAAATACATCACTATGTTATTAACAAATGTGTCAGAACAGGCAAGTTGGACCATATGATTGAGTTCACAGAAAAAGTGGGGAATTTCAATGTTTGTGCAGAAGGACAGTCGCAACACCATTAAACTTTGTAATAAGGAATTCAGGACACTTATGATCCAGGATATCAGCACCAGCAGTCCACAGAGCTGGGGGTTCATGATGACTGTGTAGTGGAGAGGTTGACAAATGGCCACAAAGCGGTCATAGGCCATCACGGTCAGGAGGAGCATGTCCAACACTGCAAAAAGTATGAGAAAATAAATCTGTGTGATGCATTCCTTATAGCTGATGACTTTGCTTTGTGTCCAGATGTTCCACAGAATCTTTGGGATGGTGGTGGAGGTGAAACAGATGTCTACAAAGGATAGGTTGGAGAGGAAGAAGTACATGGGGGTGTGAAGGTGGGGGTCTGAAGTGATGGCCAAGATGATGAGCAGGTTTCCAAACATAGTAATCAGGTGTGTGGAGAGGAAAAGCCCAAATGTGAGAGGCTGTACTTTTACTTCCCCTGAAAGTCCCAGAAGGAGAAATTCTAGAATTTGTGTACCATTGTCTGGTTCCATGCAGGAAGGTGACTTCTGGAAAAGAAGGGATATAACATGGCCAATTTTCACACAAACTTGTATTACTCACATATTCAAAATGGTGTTTCAAATTTATATTTTGTTGTCAAAATTAGTTTGATATTTTGTGTATTTTGTATAGCCCCATGGAAGGTATCTTTGTGCCCCACATAATGTGGAATTTTTTCCCAACCAGCTTTTACCGTAAGGGTCATGTGTTTTGCACCTTTAATGAGAATTTCATAGTGTAATTCAAGAATGTAATACAAGTGCTTGGGCCTGGTGCACTGGGAAGACCCAGAGGAATTGGGTGGAGAGGGAGGTGGGAGGGGGGATCGGGATGGGAAATACATGTAAATCCATGGCTGATTCATGTCAATGTATGACAAAAACCACTACAATATTGTAAAGTAATTAGCCTCCAACTAATAAAAATAAATGAAAAAAAAGCAAAAAAAAAAAAAAATGAATGTAACACGAAGTCTATTGTTTTTAAGCACTGTCTAGGCAATGAGTACGGAGAAGGCAATGAGTACGGAGAAGGCAATGGCACCCCACTCCAGTACTCTTGCCTGGAAAATCCCGTGGATGGAGGAGCCTGGTGGGCAGTGGTCCATGGGGTTGCTAAGAGTCGGACACGACTGAGCAACTTCACTTTCACTTTTCACTTTCACGCATTGGAGAAGGAAATGGCAACTCCCTCCAGTGTTCTTACCTGGAGAATCCCAGGGACAGGGAGCCTGGTGGACTGCCGTCTATGGGATCGCACAGAGTCGAACACGACTGAAGCGACTTAGCAGCAGCAGCAGCAGGCAATGAATACAAGGCGCTAAAAAACAAAAGTCCCGAAAGTCTCATTTCAATAACAGAGAATGAATACATGGTGGGAATGTAAGTCGATATAGCCACTATGGAAAATAGTATAGAGATGCCTTAAAAAAGCTAGGAATAAAACTACGATATGGCCCTGCAATCCCATGACTGGGTATATAACCTGAGAAAGCTATCAATCAAAACAACACATGTACCCCAACGTTTATTGCAGCAGCATTTACAACAGCCAAGACATGGAAGCAACCTAGATGTCCATGGACAGATGAATGGATAAAGAAGTTGTGGTATACATACACAGTGGAATATTATTCCGCCATAGAAAGGAACTAATTTGAGTCAGTTGAAGGGAGGTGGACAAATCTAGAGCATGTTATACAGCGTGAAGTAAGTTAGAAGGAGAAAAACAAATATTGCACATTAATGCATATATATGGAATCTAGAAAAATGATACGGATGAACCTATCTGAGGTGTAGGAACAGAGATGCAGATGTAGAGAATGGAGTTGTGAACACATCAGGGGGAGCAGGGGGACAAATTGAGAAAATAACATTGACATCTATACACTACCGTGTGTAGAATAGATAGGTAGTGAGAAGCTGCTACATAACACAGGGAGCCCAGCCTTGTCCTTCGTGATGACCTGGGGGGTTGGGGTGGGACGGGGTGGGTGAGACGGAGGCTCAAGAAGGAGGTGATACAGATGTACTTCTGGCTGATTCACATTATTGTACAGCAGAAACCAGCATGACGTCATAAAGTAATTGACATCGAAAAAATGAATCAGGACATAAAAAAAGAGAATGACTATTTAAACAGACAGTAAAATTATATATCATCCTATGGCCTCGGATTCTGTCACCATAGGCACGCAATTAATAACAGGCACAAAGGAGAGATTGGGTCTGTGTGGGGACGTGTGTGCCCGGCAGAGGGACGGCCAGGCAAGGCCGCGAAGAAGGTGCTTGTTTCCTGTGCTCAATTAAAAACAAGAGAAGCAGTGCTGCAAGTGAGTGAACCTGATAAAGACTGAGGAGAGGTGGGTCACACGCATTGAGGAGCGAGGTGGGCTCTCTGCCACTGCTGAAACCCCAGAGCACAGGTATTTCCTGTTCCATACTACAACTTGCATTTTACTCATCTTGGTGCTAAAGGGTTCCCAGGGGATTCCTCTGGTGCTCCAGTGGCTAAGACTCTTGCTTACAATGCAGGGGGCCTGGGTTTGATCCCTGGTCAGGGAACTAGATCCCACATGAAAGGACTAAGAGTTCACATTCCGCGATTAAAGATCTCAAGGCTGCAACGAGGATTCTGCACAGCCAAGTCAATCAGTCAATTAACCAATCAGTCAATATTTTAGAAAAGAGACAGCGCCCCTCCTTAGGACCTCTTCTGTTTGAGTTCTGGTCCCAGTACTGTAAGAATCATCTTGGAATGCATGAGTCCTGGTACTCTTGTTCTGAAGACTGGTCACACTCCACAAGTCTCTCTCTCACACACACACCATGGCCCCCCGCACTGCAGTATTTCCATGTCTTTCACAACCACCGCCTTTCTGACTACACTTTGTTCTTGTTGTTTTTCAGTTGCTAAGTCCTGTCTGACTCTTTGCAAGATGGCAGCACGCCAGGCTCCCTGTCCTTCACTATCTCCTAGAGTTTGCTCAAATTCATATCCATTGAGTCGGTGATGTTATCTGCCGCCCTCTTCTCCTTTTGCCTTCATTTTTTCCTGGCATCAGGGTTTTTTCTAATGAGTTGGGTCTTCAAGTCTTCAAGTAGCCAAAGTATTGGAGCTTCAGCTTCAGCAGTAGTCCTTCCAGTGTATATTCAGGTTTGATTTCCTTTCCTAATTGCACTAGGAATGCATAAAACCCAAACTGGCCCAATCAGTGATCTTTTCCCTGTAGAATGCTGAAATGGTCCTCAGATATTCCAATTCTTCAACTTCCCATGAACATGTAAACCTGGGACTTCATACTGATAGGGCTATTTTTGATTGAGTTTTTAAGTAAAAAAGAATCTGCTCAACTAACAGAAAGAGAGAAAAAATAAAGTGGGTCAGGAGGCAAAGATCTAATAAGCTCAGCTGGTCCCAGAGAGATTGTGAGGAAGAATAATCTCCCTTGGTTCTGGCAGCATTCCAAACTTGATTACATTTCCTTGATGCCCAGAAAAAATAATAAGGGAACCAAAAACAAAAACAGAAACACCTGTCTAAAAGACAGAAGTAGTGATTTTCTTTAACGGTGTCAAGCACCCATATATGGTACATGCACCAAAAAATGAGCAAAGGGATAAGCCAGCATTTCCCCAAAGAAAATGCATACAGTATAACAAAAGTTGGACATTGTTAGTATGATGCAGTAGATTTACTTTTCCTGTGCCTATTCCATAATTATTTGACCAATTAGGTTGTTTTTTTTAGATTTTTTTGATGTGAACTATTTTTAAAGTCTTTACTGAATTTGTTACAATATTGCTTCTGTTTTTTTATATTTTAGTTTTTTGGCCATCAGGCATGTGGAGTCATAGCTCCCCTACCAGGGATCGAACCTACACCCCCTGCATTGGAAGGCGAATTCTTAACCACTGGACCACCAGGGACGTCCCTGAACAATTAGTTTTTGTATGGCCCAATAATGGATGAGATTAGTCCCTTTCTCAATTTTCTCAAGTGGTATCTTTCTTTTACTGCTCCTGTTCTGTAATGTTTCATCCCTTTTTTGAGAATCTCAGTGGGCACATTCTAATCATGATTCTGGACTTCATCCAACATGTAGAGGCTGCCCTGAGACATATTCTATAAATCCTGTCCACACTATGACAGTTCTCCTCCCTCATACTTCATACAAAAGAGATGTATTGCATCCAAACTCTGTGTAGGGGTAACCAATACATTTTAGATGAACATCTAGAAAACAACATATTCAATTTGCAGGGGGNTGGGGTGGGGGTGGGGTGGGGGGGGTTGCGGAAACCCTTAAAGAACTGTCATGCTGATTGTGATTAGATCTTTTAAACTGACAGCAAAAGCAGTTGTCTAATTCTGTTGTTAGAAACATAAAATGTTACAAGATTGGAAAGCAACCTGAAGACAACGAAAAATATTGCAATAAATGTTGTTTTTTAACTCAGGCTTTCTTAAACCTAGTGCTGTGAGTTTTTTGGGGCCAAATCATTCTCTGTCTCATGCATTGAAAGATGCGTACAGCATCCATGTTCTCCACTCACCCCTCTCTAGTGCGACAGCCAGAAATGTCCTTGGAAGTTGTTCAATGTGTCCTCTGGAGAAAAATCTAATCCTCTGATTAGAACCACAGTTTTAAATTAGCAATCTCAACATATTTTTCTAGCACTGACATAATAGCAATTTAATGATAAAGAATGTGAGAGATGGTCAAAGGTGTAAATAGCACTGTTGCATTGTGAAATATGTAATCACGGAAATAAACATATTAATTAATCAAACAAAGGAACAAAGGCAGCAGTCTCTTGTCTCTGCGCTGAGTTGAATTGGCTTCCATTCTCCTTGACCATCTCATGCACCATCATCTGGGTTGTTGTACTCACCTTGATGGGAACTCTGAGAGGAAGGTCTCCGAGGAGGAGTCTGAACCCCTTCCTGGATGTTTAATGATGATGACTAAGTTTCTGTCCCCAGACTAGCAGCAGGAAAGAGTGAAGCTACAGCCCCCCAGCCAGGATTAGGACTCAAATCAAACAAATCAAAATAAGGGTCCTTCCAGGAGAGGTTTGCAAACACCGAGAGACTTCAGATGTGGAGATATTTATAGCTCCCTGTATCTGCTCATTAAGCACACTTCTCTCTTGTTATTTCAACCTCTAAGTACATAATTCCCCTGTGGAAAGCTCTTCTGGAAGAAAGGAAATTTTTCCTAATGATTTTCCACTCACAAGAGGCCACTGTAGAAGTCAATTGAATCCAGTTTTGTTTTCTTCTTTTTACTCCTTCTCCATTAAATTGCCCGCCTTTCATATCTCTAAATCTCTTAGCATCTTATCTCAACTCTTAACTAGAATTTTCTCCAAGTCAAAGATGCGGAACCTGTCTGGATTGAGTCTCTTGTGTCTTCAAAGCTTGTCTTCAAAGTTCAGACACAGACTCTGAACCTCCAGAAAATTCCTGTTTTCCTTTTCAACTGGG